AATAGAAGGCCTAACGAATATATATATATATATATATAAGACATCATTTTAATATCTCTTCTAGAGTCATATTGATTTGTATGGTTTTTGTACACATTTAACAAATCTGCGTCCAAGAAATAAGGGGAATTTTTATTGAAAAATTGTAAACGAAAAACATATAATTTGTGAATGCCGAAACCTTTGTAATATTGCAAGTCTCCGTTTTCGGAGTATCTAACCTAATAATCGTATGTTGAAAGTGCCTGAACAACAATAAAATATTTAAATTTATTAAAGCGAATAGATGAACAATTTAGTGGAACTTTTCAAAAAAGAAAAGCCTGAAAATTTCAGTTGCTAATGCTTATCATATTTTTTTTGTTTTTTAGAATTTCCTCTTTTGGTCCATTTATAATAATAATATTACTTGAATTATCCGACAAGTTTTTTTGTGAATAGCCGCGCTATAAATTATATAGATATAAATTCTACTTCTCGGTTTTACACTAGTCACTTTAATATAAACTTAAATATTTTATTGATCACGATTCAAGGGGCTAGTAGCTCCGAAAGCGAGTCTTTGAATATTTGAAAGGTTTCGGCATTCATACAGTATATGTTAATTCGTAAAATACAAAATTTGGGGAAGTAATTTCCTCATGGATCCACTGATCCAATGCGGATTCTTGGACATTCGATCTTGAATTTGATCGGATTCGATTACCGATCTTGATTACCGTATAGTCTAGTGGATGAACATCGTTTGGCGAATGTTTGCATTTTGCTCTATCGGATTAATTTATATCGTATTGGACTTTAGTCTCTTTTATTACCTTAAGAGGTTGACAAGTTAAACTTAAGCTTGTGTCAATAGATACCCTAGTGTAACGTAATTGGTTTATAGATTGCGGTGCACTTTGAAAATTTTCTTCATCACTTGAGTCAAACTAGTTGCTCGTTCTTCAATTTTACATTCTTTAAATGGCCTCCAAATGTTTTTGGTTGCTTTCGGGCTTACAAACCATTTCCGGTGTTTTTCACGATTTCCAGTCAAGATAAAACAGTATAAACTAATCTACCGGCTATCACAAACGGATATGAAGCTCTACAGAATGTTATATGACGTACGAGTAAATAATTAATTAATGCAGCTTACAGTGAGCCGAGTCATTCCAGTTGGGTTACTTTTTCGTTAATTGCAGACGTGTCAATAGGTCGATTGATATCATTTTCATTTCAGTTTTGGAGTCGACTTTCTACAATCCTTAATTAGGATGAGAAGAAGACACTTATGCATGTTTCTAGCTTTAGTTATTTCAATTAATCCAATCTATCTACATTGGTCGGTGGGACGTATAAAGAGGAAAATAGGAAAAAAAACTATTTCGTATGCGTAATATTTTTATGAACGCAGAAGCGGACCTCTTTTACGATAAATGCTTAGAGAACGGAAGTAATCGTTTGTCAAATTCAGTGCAATTGTATTCACTCATCAGCGACAAACTCGGAAATCAATTAACTTTGTCAATGACTTTGGTAAGGTTAACGAAAAGTTTGCCTAGCAGGTAACTTGAAATGTCAAACAGAGGACGTTGCTGCTGCGTTAAGGCGTGCGTTGGGCTTGTTTTTGACCTGTTCACGTTCGTTGTATCTGACATGAAACTTGGTACAGTTGAAGTTCCATACGAAAAACTTCTTACTGAGTAATTAATTATTGCGTGTGTCTCGCCAAACCGTACGAGATAAATTTCGATGATTTTTTATAGGTCATCATTAAACTTTGTTTTAAGTCGTCCGCAACTAGTTTCGTGAAATCATTATTTTCAGTTTTTTATATAGTGCTTGCACGATCTTAAATAAGTTCAGGTCGGTTCAGTTCATCTTATTTTTAGATTTTTATGAAAATTAATTAAAAAATGACGAATATAGTAGATTTCTTGTGTTCGCTGCTTGCAATATTCAGAAAAATGCATCAGAGATTATCTCAAGATTACTCAACAACTTTATTGAGGTGGTCAATGTCAACGTTCAACGTTTTCTTTGAAGCTAGCAACACGAGGCTTAATTAGTTTAAGATATAAAAATTGAAATTTAGCTTGGATACGCCTTTGAAAGGTAACACCTGTATGAAAGGTTCGTGACAGGTCTTGCTTCGGTCACATATAAGTGTTTTGTTATAAGTAAATAACACAAATCGATTTAGAAATTTAGTATGTTTTTCAGATGACGATTCAAAAAAAAGGTCTAATCGTTTGACACTTTGACAGTTACGGAATTTTAAAGGTGCGTTCAGAATGATGAGGATCCAAGATTCGTATCAAGATGTATAAAAACTTTTGAATTGTTTTTATGTAGGTTTCGCTACTAATAAGTCAGAGTAAAAATTTGCTTGCTGGCTTTAATTAACAATAATTCACATTTTCCGCTTTAAAAAACTCTACTTGAAATTTAATTGAGTTGTTTAATCTGTGTCTTGAAGAGATTTTATGAAAATTAAAATTCATTAAATTGTGTAAAATGCCATACCACTAACAGCCGTATTCTTAGCAATAGCACGGACACTTGACAAGTTGTAAGTATTTTTGTTTTTTGTTTTTTGTGTTTTGTGCTTTTCGTGACGTAACAAACACGTTATACACTATACCTATATTTGTGTTATAATTATGTATTCAGTTTGCGCGGATGTATGCAACATCCAGAAAAACTTGCGGTTAGACCCATTTCATATTATATCGATCAAGTTAGTAAGTGATACTAAATCGAAATATTCGATACTGATCGAAACTTGTCTGTGTCTTTGTCCTGTCTTTGTGTTCAAGCTATAGGTCATAAAATTTTTGAAATATTTTGATAAAATTTGATGCACTGACGTGCGTATATTGACTCAAGGAAAAACGCTTTTGAAAATTCGGTTCGGATCGCGACACTTTCTCGAGCACTTCCCATCTTCCCGTATTTATTTTGAAAAGTCGATATATGAATGACCATGACCCGGATGGCGTAGGGTATTTAATCGTCGATCGTGACCCACTATAATGCTTTTATTTTATCCGTTTCATAATAAAATTAATATTGGAAAATTTTATTCCCGACCATTGCTTTATATAATAGGAAATGTGATACAATATCATCACAATTATGATGAGGGAGTATATCATTCTCTCTGACGAGCAGTTGTGAAAGAAGTTGTGAATAGTTGATAAATAAAAATTAATGAATTACATATATATTACGGCTACAATATGACTATTTTCTAAATGCGCGTATAAAAGCGGAAAAATGAATTCATGGCTTTAATACGTAATGCATTCGTTGTTAATATGAAAAAGGTTCAGTTTCGTTTGTAATGATTCTTGAAAATGAAGAGAAAATATTAATTTCACACACAAGAGCGATTCCTCGCGAAACATAGTTTCTTTCGCTTTTGTTTATTGTTGCTCTTCTTCTTTGATTTTCTAATTAGACAAAGAGGCGAGGTCAAGTACACCCAAATGGCCAGCACAACTACACGCGATCGCATAAGAAAATGTAAATTTTTATTATAGAGAATAAAATATAAATTATTTTCTTTTATTGTTATTTTCTGGTATTTTTAGTGAAAACCTTTGAGAAAAAAAACAAAGATAAAAAAAAAAAAAATTGTAACAATTAAAAGGAAATAAGAAATTTCGCATTCTAAGTCGAACCTTACGATACTCTACATTCTAATAGGATTTACTGGATGAAACGTATTACGGCAGTCTTCCTTTGCGCAAATTATTATTGCGAAGAGTTGTTGTGGCAACATTTCTCATTTATTGCTTATATCGTATTTATTTCAATTAATATTTAATATACGCTTTTAACTAAACTGATGAAAATTATTTTGTTTTATTCAATAATTGTAGTGAGAAGTTGGTTATGAAAAAAGAAAAAAAACAGAAAAAGAAAAAAAGAAACCATTTAACGATTTAAAGGCTGACCTTACCGAACACAAAAAAAAAAAAAAATTAAGAAAAGGCAATTTACTGAAATGTGTGTAACTCTTGAATGCTGCTTGCACAACATACAGCTGAGTATCCATGTGTGCACGTGTAGGTTTCTTACACGTTCAACTTTCATTTGTTAAAGTGGTTTTGTTTTTAAACATAAATTTACATGGTTTTCATTTTTTTTTTTCTCCTCTTTTTTTATATTTTTTTTATTCCATTGGTTGTTCCTGTTGCATAACATGTAGACAGGTATACGCAATAGATACGAGCGAACGTGATGGTGATAACCAACACAATGAGAACTATAACTATAATAATAATGCGTGTAATAAATGCAATAACAGCGTTAATAATAATTTTTAATAATATTTTGATTAGGGGGCCTTTAAACCCCCAAACATATCTATAACCATTTGCTGTTACGTTATATGTTTTCTTAGCATTGATTAGAAAATATTATCAAGTGAATTCAATTATTTGAAATGTTATTTGAAAATGATTTTGTAAATAAATAAAAGTGTGAAAATGACTAAAGGTAGGTAGGGCGCAATAATAGGTGAACTTAGTCGTTTTTAACCGAAGTTCATATCTAATTGAGTTTTGAGTTATAACTAACTGGGGTGATGCATGTGGGAAATGTTTATAACATATGCAAGTGTTTATGTTAAAACCAAATCGCTCAAAAACAAACATACACGCAAACACACACACACACACACACATACATACATACATACATGTATATATACGACCTAAAAGAAACAAACAGGCAAACAAACAGAAAGGCGCATACATATGTGCGCGCGCACAACGTTTCAATGTTAACGAAAAAGTTTACTTCAAAAGAATTTTGCAAATATTTTTCTTAACTTATGCAGACCTCGAAACAATGCTGGAAACTTTTTATATATATATATATATATATATATATGCTTATGTATGTTTATGTACACATTTTCTTAAAAGTACATCATATACACGTATATGTTATGAAATTTTATAACTTTTATATGTTGTTTTTGTTCCTTATTTGTAATTATTTTCCAGATGAGTGGTAAACGCACACGCAGTTTTAAATGCGCTGTCCATCATCGAGATCGTGAGGTTTGTTCGGAAAATGATTTTCATTTGGTTTTGGAAGAGCCACCAATCTTTCAAAGAATGCTTCAAGTCATTGCTCTGGAACTCTTGCCCGACGAACGCGATCGTAAATATTATGCTGATCGTTATACTTGCTGCCCGCCACCTTGGTTTATCGTTTTCATAACTGTAATTGAGGTAAATGACTATCACTATCCATCATCACAGATTAAACAAAGTCCATTCACATTTTTAGTCAATTAAAAATCGAAACACATCAACAATATCACAATATACAATATTATTAGTTTGATGAATGTAATAATGAATGAATGTGAAGCCGCATACTTGCAAATAATAATTCATTTAACTAAGGCCAAGACTAAAACGCTTAACTAGACAATGCAATTAATATACAAATAGGCATTATATGTGCGTACGCACGTACCAATTTACAAATTTAGTTATGTAATTTCCATTTAAACTTCTTTTTTTTTTCTTTTTAAATTGTTGTTGTTTTCTTTTTTTTGTTAGTTATAAAAAAAAGACAACGAGAAAAAATCAATACCTTTGAAATACTAACTTGTACATATGATTCAACGACATAATTAGAGAAACTGGTGACAAGTTCAACTATAAGCACTCGATGGTGTGCGCGCGTATCCAAAGTTTCCTAAAAGGCACTAGTATTTTGCTGGATGGCAAATTAGCAAAGTCGTAAGGATAAATTATCCTCCCAGTCGTCCGGATGACAACAATCTGCCATGGAGAAGTCGTTGAGAATGTCAAGAGTGGTCTGCTTGCGGACTTCTCTACGAAACACTCAGCTACTATGGGCACTCAAGATTTAGTAAACAAGACTGCGGGTTATTAAGAAATCCAAAGTAGCAGTGGTGTTTTTGAGCATCTGGCATTTTTAGTCTGCTCCTTGTATATTAACATCGATAAGGGAAAATTTGGATGGCAATCTAAGGTCGATAGAGATCTTGACATCTGGACGCGCGGTGGTTAACCTAAACGCAGCATATTAAATAATTAGAGGTGGAAGTAGAGCACGTCTTGCTCAGGGGACAAGGTTTGGTCCATTTTCACTCTGGCTTCACAGATGGCATCTCAGCTCTGACATACTCCCTCTCAGGTGCCGGATTGCCTTGCGAACTGGAGACCTCATTAGTCGCTTACATATAACTTGCAAATCTTTGGGTTTTGTCTAATTCAGCCTTCGACGACAGTGCGTAGATGTTAACTACAAAACCGCGCTGACCCCCAACTTAATAGAAATTATGTATACAGAAGTCTTTCAACTACACAATAAATTAAATATTGGTTTTCTTATGTCCAAGACACATCTTCTGAAATTTTGGAAATGAAATTTATATTATATAATACAGATTATCGAAAGGTTTTAAACAATTGCTGATTTTTCTTTGAACTTAGTTTCGTAAAGAGTATCGAAAAAAAGTGAAAGAATAAATTTTAAAAATTAGCTTAGTTACTATTACGTACATATGTCTGCATACGTCGGCGGTTTGCACAAGAGAAAAATGGCATCGAAGATCGCAAGTCGTCCTTTTCCACTTCCATTAAGCTTGACATATCTAACCTAACCCAACCTAATCGGATCTCAACTGTAAACAGATATTTTCAGCTGAGATGCCTTATAATCTGTCGTCTGTGGACTAACTAAGCATAACTTAATGCTAACTTATCTCCAGGTTAGGTGAATAAGAGTTTCATTCAAATTGGATAACCTTTTCGGGGACAACATAACAAAGTTTCTTGCGCTCAATGAAGAATGGGTCCATTATTCCTTATCGGAAAATTCGCTCTAAATGAAAACTGGGTAACTTTTTGTTTTGAATTGAGCTGTTTCTTTGGAAATATCATGTGTATGTATGTGTTTTTCTATACAAATACTGAAGTGTAAATGACGTCGTGAGCTGTATGTCAGCTTCCCGAAAGGTTTCACGTGGACACCTATATGCTTAATTGTATAGCGACCGCTCAGAGTAATATGATGACTTATCTTGCCAATCAGTTAGTCAGCCCCAGTTTTCCGAAAGTTCCAAAACGACGGAGAAGCGGTGGGTTATCCAACAACATTTCCATTCTTTAATGCCCCCCTGCAATGAGTAACCTGGGTTGTCACGAAAGAGACGTTTTCACATTTGTCTTACCAGCCGCGATAACAGAGTATATTTTGTAAAAATTGCACTTTAAGCGGCATATAATATAGTAATTCCGGACTACCGGCCTTGATTTTCTTTCCTAATAGATTTTCAATGTCCGGGAAGAAAACAGCGGCTCAGCTCAGGTACTGTCGGATAGGCACAGAAATGAATTGGGTCTTAATAGAGAAGAAGAAGAAAAGGAACGACTTCTGTCAAAAGAAATTTGTCTCGTTTCGGAGTAACCTACGCGTTCTGCAATGAACAGTAAAATAAATAATTTACATTAGATTTCGCTTTGCAAAACAACTTTAGTAGGTTGAAATGCTAGGAATGTTACAGAAGATTTAAAGAAAGTCGATTGGCTTCTTCTGATCGAAACCTTGATAAAATTAACGGCCCAAGTGGTTAACGTATAGAGTAAGACAGTTCACCACACGACACGATAGCTGAAATCTACAATAATGAAAACAAGCTAATCGTGTTACCGCTACACTCATAAGATATCTATTCGTCTGGCTTTTTCCTGTTTCCAAGGTTGAAATTCTGAGCTCATAGAGGCCTTCTTAAATTAAGCGATAGAAAATATGCTTAGAAATCCGAAGATCTAAATGAAGGGCTAATATATTTATTATGTTTGTATTTATGCAAGCGATGGGGCATATTTTACAGACGAATAAATTAATTTTGACGAATAAATTATTTTTATATGCGATTGTGATCAACTGCTTCTCTTAACAATCGATCAGACAGAATTATTTTAAGCTAGCATGTAAAGAGAGAATCGTGTTTCATCAGAATAACGTTGTACTGCATAATTTTCAGACTGCCTAAGAAAAATTGTTGACGCTTGAGTGATATACTTTTACTTACCCGCTATATAATCCGATATTTATGTTCCCAAGGCAGTTGAGACAAATAATATTTTTTCCCCGTGTTCTTACAAGGTACTTGAGTGATAAATGGAAAGTGTTTTAATAGGATGAACACACATCACAGAACTCAATAAGTTTCACGCCTAAATTGACATACATTTGCAATTTCGTCGTTCAAATGCGCTTAGAACGTTACACAATATTCGCTAATTACCCTTTGTTTCTTTTCAAGAAAGCCGGTGAATATTATATTATGCTCATTTTAATAGTTCGAACCCCATAACACTTCCAGTCGATTGTTTTTGATCGCTTTCAACGATTGCTGTATGTTCGGCTGGTTTTCGGTTTGATTCTTGGACACGTTGCTATTGATCAAAAATTGAGCAAATACATGATGCACTTGTGGTTACTTTTCACATAGAATAGAGAGGAGGCTCAAAAATATCAAGTTATTGAACGGTTTTCTCTCAAAATTGCATAACATTTCACAGCAAAAGAATGGAAAATTTTCAAATGAACTTTGATCAAACACTTATCACAAAAACAATCCAAAATTGTGCTTTTAAATTGTGTAATGAATTTCATGAATGTACACTTGATAATGGATCGAAACGTGGAACTCTTTCATGAACCCTTTCAAAGTCAAATAAATATTCGTCAAATAAGGTCATGTGCTTTCCGCTTGAATTTTTAGAGTTAGTGATCGAAAAAGTCGAAAAAATATTTTGAATTAATATTCAGGTAAAGAGAGCTTGTCTAAAAATACCAGCACAGGACTGAGACATATTCGGAGAATTTCAAAGTTTCATAATATTAGTAATCAGTATCTTATGACTGATTAGATCAAATGTATCCCAAAGCGGCCTTATCGCAACTGTAAGATGTGTGAACGAGTATCCATCGATTTTTTGGTAAAACTGAATCGATCTCATAAAAAATGCTCAATATATGAGTGCAACAGAAGGCATTACTTCTGCCATTTTCTTATGCACAATGTGAACAATGTACTTCTACTCCTTCGTCCCAATTGCGTTCGTTATAGTTCGTAGCGTTTCTTAGTGATTTTTTTTTAAATTGGGTCGAGCAATTCATAATACACAATGTCTTGTCTCGATCTTCCTAATAGCGTCACCACTCTGCAATATAATTGTTTGTACTTTGGATAAGGTAACGCATCCACTGTTCATCACTCGTAAGAATTTAGCAGCATTGAGAAGGCTTCAGTTAAAGCTTCACGCATATGGCATTTTCTTAGCACAGAACTATACCTATTCAAAGGTCCAGGCAACTGTGTTTGTTGTATACGCTTTAGTGTGATAATTTAAGAAGTTGCGCATGCCTTAACGATAGTCCTTTCAAGTGAAGCGAAGACACGGTTTTGTGCAGAACAGTACAGTCTTATTTATATTGAATCTTAGGAAAAGGCGGGCACTTATTTACACGTCGAACGCATAAGAAAAATTGTGTAAAAATATACCAAAGGAAAAAAACTTTTTTTCATTCATTTCTTCCAAACGTTGAGTATCCAAGAGTCGACTACGAAATCAATACAAAATTTTAAGTTTTTTTTTTTTTTATATTCAAAGAGAGTTTTCGGAATTGTTATGTATTGTTGTGTATATTTAAGCACTGATAAATCAAAATTTTGTTGTTAATAATATAAAAGTTATCAAATAAAGGCTCTATATATGACGTAATATTTACTTATGTGTGAAGTTTATACAGGTGTATACAGGTGGTTTATGCTCTATGAGAGAGAGAGAGAGAGAGAGAGACATGATCTTCACTTGTATCCACTTCTTACTACACCAGTACTTTCGCGCTATATGTACGAACGTACGGAAGTCGCATCACTGCACTGCAAATGTTCGAGCGTTTGTTGAGTCCAGCGTTTCGCAAAACCTACCTCTTCAATTGTGACAGCTATGAGCAGAATGTTGTAATTCAAACGATTTGGACGGCAACAAACCTTATGATTTTCCAATCTTCTAGAAGTCGAAATAAAAGTCTTATAACGTATAGTGCAGTAATTTGTGATCGCCTATCAATCTCAGTCTTCTCTATTCATCTACTACCAGAATCATTATCATCTACTCTTACAGATGTTAAAACCTTATTATAATAAAAAAATTAAGATAGCATTTTACTGCTTATTGGTCGAATTTCAAGGCCCGGGTGATCTTATCGTAAATGTCATCATAATTGCAAAGCTGATATAATTTCAGAAAAATTTGTGCAATAAGTTTCGAAACAGTCCCTTGCATAATCGCCACTACTAATAAACATTTTTTCTATATGTTTGCTCTAGAATTCAAGGCTTAAATGATGAATATGTACACATAACTTTTTTATTAGTGTTTATATATATATATATATATATATATATATATGGCATATATCAATATGGTATATACATATATATATATATTTATATATATCTCAATATGGTTTTCGTGTGCACAAACGATTGCATGAAGACCCATAATACGATGCGTCGTCGATAATTAAGCAAAAATCCCCTTCTTGGCGCTATCGTTCAACTAATTACGAGAAATTCCCATAATTTTTTATTTCATGCATTAAAATTATATTTTAATTTATTGCCTTCTGCGGGGATATAATTAAATATAGTCGAGACAAAATACAAATAAATTATGGTTGTTGACCACTTTTTGTTTTTCTATATTTATAGAGCAAGTATGTCCATAAAATTGAGCATAAATATAATCATTTTGGGTGGCTAATAATGAACATATATATATATATATATATATATATATATATATAAATTGGTAATTTCTCTCCTGATTACTGCAGTTTCTGATTACGGGCAATTTTTGTCACACAAAGAGCAGTTTAGTCATTCGCAAATAATAATTACAAAGCTATTATCATCTATGAGGTAATGGTTTCACTACTCATCATCTCTATTCAACGCATGGCATACACATCTGCAACATTAAGTAAGAAAGCTATAATTTAATCAGTGTAAAGTAAAAAGCTTATTGTTCATAGTCGTCGCATCATCAACAATATGGATCCAAGCAATATGGATCATGTCTGCGTTGCGTTGCATTTTCATTAACGGGTTCGATTAGTTACTTAGTTACTTAGTTACATTAGGTAAAGGAAAAGTTCCGTACTGTGTTTGCTGAAGTAAATTCTATCGCACTTGCGATGTGAATCCGCGAACGCTAACTGATGATAGTCGCGATTCGTTTTCTTAGCCATAAATAAGTCTTAATAAGTTCTTCCCTTTTTTTTTTTTTTTGTGGTTTCATTCCCGATCTTTTGCACAGATAATTGATAATTTTGACGAATAGTTTAACTAACTAAGACGTTTGACGTGCCGGTTAGTACTGAATCATTGTTGATGTCGTAGTTTGTTCTTAGATGAGCAACTAATACTATCCAATTATTGCCGTTTAAGGGAAACTAAAATATTTCTTATATTTTTCTTTTCAGTTATCCTTGTTTGCATTTCATGCGATAAGTATGAGAACAGCTGGCTTACTGGGTGGATCGATACCCATCTGTTTATCAACATCCACATCTTATTCCTTGCTCATTTATCGCCCCGATAAGCGTTATGAATTGTGGCGCTTCGTTACGTATATGTTTTTGCATGACGGCTGGTGTCATTTGGGTTTCAATTTGCTGATACAATTGTTGCTTGGTTTGCCTTTAGAAATGGTACACGGTTCAGCCCGTCTTGCTTCTATATACTTTTCTGGTGTCTTGGCTGGCTCATTAGGTATGTGAAACACACACACTTATGTTACTCATACGCCTCTATTCTTGCGATTATTTTTGCTTTATACTGATGAGCGAGCTGCTGATGTTTGTTATTTTTTATGTTCGTCATATTTATTGTTGTTGTTGTTATTATTATTTTATGTGATTTGTACTTTTTTGCGTTTCACCAGGCACCAGCATAATTGATCCGGAGGTCTGTTTGGTTGGCGCCAGTGGCGGTGCTTACGCTTTACTAGCTGCCCATTTGGCTAACGTGATGATAAACTACCATCAAATGCGTTATGGCGTTTTACGTTTGGCAGTCATTTTATTTTTTGGTAAAGCATATTACTTGTATTTTTCATGCGTTTATGTATGAAGCTTTATTTATTTGCACGACTCATTCACATTTCACATTGTTCACGTTTAATAAAATTTCTTTAATAATTTATGTTATTTCCTTTCAAGACTTTTTTGTATTATGTTGTTATGTTATGTTATGTTTTTGTTATTGTTTTCGTGTTTATAGCGTCTTGCGATGTAGGATTCGCAATTTATACGCGTTATGCTGAAGATTATCCTGCGGTATCTTTTATTGCCCATTTAAGCGGTGCCTTGTCAGGACTAACTATCGGTCTATTGGTGTTGAAAAACTTTGAGCAAAAATTGCACGAACAGCTGCTCTGGTGGATTGCATTGGGCATTTACACGGCTTGCATCATATTTGCCATCATTTTTAATATTATTAATAGCGCTGTGATGCAAAGTCTTAAAGTGGAACAAATTTACGTAACCGAGACATTTTATAATGGTTTTCAAGTATGATGGTGGGCCTACAGTCTATTTAAAGTCTGTTTTCGCCGTTTGTAGTAGAGGCGATGATGGTGGTGATGGCTGTTGTTTTTTGTTTTTTTTTTGCGAAACAATTTATTATTTTTTCAGTTATTCCTTCACGCTTTTGTTTTTGTCATAAGATTATTTTGGGTTTTTTTTTTTTTTTTTTTTTTAAGGTTTCTCTTTCAGTTTCCCTTTCATATGGAAATTCAAATGGATTTATTTAGTTTGCATGGCTTAAATGGTTTAAATTTTTTTCTTTATTTTCCTTTGGCTTTTCCTTTCTTCTTGTTGGTCTAAAAGAGAAAATATGTTAATAAATTGGTTTTTTTGCATTGCAATCCTTTTTCCTACTACAGAAAACTACAGAAAACATAATTCTGTCTTTGATTTAAGAGAGGCTAGCTATGCTTTGAAGTTTTGCATATTAATTATAATGTTAGGTTAGATTTGTTAACTTACCGTCAGTCTGTCTCCGCGTTGGGAAGCCAAAGACAATGACATATTTGTTTTCAAGACATCGTTCAGTGTCTTTGTGTGTGATTACAGGCTGATGATGATGGATATATTTTGCAATTATTACCTAAGATAAGTCCTATTTTGTTCGACGTTGCGAATATTGTCAGCTGCCAAGATCCTATAAAATTTGTAAATAATTTCATCACGTAAAGTTCTTTAATCGATTTGTACATATGTATGGTATGAGTTAAGCAGATGTTCAAAATTTCAAAGATCAAAAAGTTAACACAGAAAGCTAGATATTTGATTGTGGACATGGCCGTCATACCGTTAATATGATTACCTTTTTAAAGTAGGAAGCGATCTTTATTAGCAGATATTTATCTAAGACTAGCTATATGAAATGATGTGAATTTGAATTTTCTTATGCAGCCATAGTGTAGAGGCAGATAACTTCTATTAACGACGCGCATTGAATGTCGTATTGAAAGTTTTTATTTCTTTCTATTATTTTTTGTTTTTTTTTTGTGTTCTCGTTTTCATCACCACCATTGAGTGAATGTTCATACATTGATATGTGTGCAATCTATGCATATATATGTATATATATCTAAATATATAACTCAATATATAAAAATATGTTTTGTGCAAAATAGTATTATTATGTAAAAATTGAAAATTTTCTTAATAGATGAAAATAACTAAAACGATAATAATTTTTCGGTAAATTAAATCGAAATTCTAAAAGTACAAAATAAATATATAGAGAATATATATATATATATATATATATATATTGCTTAATTGATGAACAAACTTTCGCTTATATTTCTTTGTTTAGTTAGTTAGAATAGTCATTTTACCTGGCATTTTAGGCTTTAAAAGAAATCTAGATAGAAAAGTAAAAGAAACATTTACACGAACGATGAGAAAAATCAATATCACTTTAACGCTAATAATAAAAACAAATACCAATAATTCGACTATAATGGTAATCAAATTTTTAGAGAAGCACTGTAGTTAGGAATGCACAGGAAAGCGTACTAACTCTTTGTAATATTTATTTTGTTATGTTATTTGGGATATAATTTGAGATCATATATTTTCAAAAACTTAGATCAGCAATAAGAGAAGGATTTAGTTGCTTAATTACCGAAAAAGCTCATTTATGCCTTTATGTAAAAGTTAAGTAAACGATATTTGTATTCACATATTGCACTGTGTACAGAAAGTAATGAGATTGTGTGTGTGTTTTTTTTTTTTTAAATACCCGCTCTTCTAAACAGCTGAGGTAACTTTCAAAACATGCGCACTGTTGCATTAGTAATAAGAGCGTTATTTTTTTTCTTTCTTGCAGTCCCGTTATCAGCGATTTTTTCTTGGTGCATTTGTAGCACGATATTCACTAGATTGTTAAGATGTTCCCGGCTCATAAACATATATCCAAATTTCATCTCCGACAATTGCATATTTTAGATCATTATCAGCAAGCATTTCTTCTGACACTTCAACACGACGTTGTTTTCGTAACAAATTAATTTCAAACAAGCAAAAACAATCATCCTTTAAAATTGTTTTTGTTTTATTGACCGTTTGGATATGTCACACAATATCTACAACGTCGCTTTGAGTCAACCGATGACTGACAAGTACAAGCTCTTTGATTCTATTGATGTTTTCATAAGTAGTCTTCCTGACGGAGGTTCGTCTTCGACTACCTCACGATTCTCATTAAACGATTTCTACCATTTGAAGATTTGTGATCTTGATCATCATAACACTCATCATCGTAACACTCTTGTAACAAACATTTTTAACTTATTTCATTTCATTATTTGATGCAAATTCTGAAAAACGCTGATGACAAGATTCTTTAAACAAAAAGTTCTCTGCGATTACTAATCTAAGCGGGCGCGTGTCTCGAAACTTAAGTCAACTATTCACAAAAGTCATAGCAACCTACTAAAAAAATACATACTCTTTGTCTACAGTAGTATGATATAAGGAGGAAGGTATGTTTAGGACTCCAGACTTCTAGGACTAGGGATAGAGTACGTACGTAATGTCGGCTCGTATGTAAAGCTTTGAAAATAAATTTGCTTTAAAAAAACGAAGCAGCTTCGAACATGGAAACGAAGCGATTATGGTCATTAGACTAAATCGATAGATAAACATAATGCCGGATGGACGCACGTACTTATATGATTGAATTAATTTGCAATTTTCCTTTGTCTACAATATTCTAAGCATTCATCAGCGATCTTTATTTATCTTTTAATTATTAGTTTATTAGTTGCAAGCGAAATAAGCCTCCTACAGACAAGCCATCATATTATTTCTCATAGAAAATCTCTCTCATTGTATATATAATCAAAAAAGGAATTGTAAAAATATTATGTTAATTTTCAATGTGAAAAAAAAAAAAAAAAAAAAAAAAATTCTTTAAAATTTTTGAACAAAATTTTGTACTCAATGAAACTCTAATCGATAATAATTTATATGAAACGGCTTTAAGCTTTTTTGTACGGTACATCCTCTGCAATAGAAGGATATTCATAGAATTAATAGTTGCTGGGCTTAAAATGTGTATGGATAATATAAACAATCTCTTTTCCTTTTTTAATTCTGTTTCGTCTTTCATAGATCGTAGATCGGACCTATGCGGAAAGAAGAAGAAGAAGAAGTATTATAGCCCTATAGCAATATGATAACTTTTAAACTAATATTACAGAACTTTACACAGGTGGTTTCAGAAGAACGTAAAATGCCTTGGCCTTTGAGCAAGCTTGGGGACCTTATCTATCAATATGAGGCTAATTTTATCCTTTAACGGCGATAGAGTAAGTCAAACGGATCAAGTCAATCATTTCGGAATATTTCCAATTTTTTTTATGCTCATCGCTGGTCTGGTCGGACATTTTGGATGAGGTTCCCCGTTTCTTCGCCGGTAAAGTAATTCCTATCCTGTTAGTTAATAGAAAATTTATGCGCTCGAAACGATCAAAATTACTTCTCTTTATGTTAGTTGAGGTAAGGAAAAGCAAAAGTTGTTCACTAAACGAGCCTCTCATCGAACATGGCATTGTGATCTGAAACGCCAATTAAATGTTTCTACTTAGCGGAGACATTCCATTTTTAGAATCTGCCTGCCACTCAAAGTGGGCAGACATTGCCCTGCAGCGATAAATAGCATTGAATTTCGAGTATATTTTCTCATTTAATTAACGCGATAACTAGCAATCAAATCAAATTTTCCTTCCAAACCTCTGTAAATGTCTTCAAATATTTTGTTGTCTTTTATTGTTATTATTATAAATGTAGCCAGAGAACAAATTCTGAGACTTAAGTCTTAAAGCACTAGCATTTAAGGCGTTTGGCTTTATTAAAAACTCTACCGCACTTGAGATTTGAATCCACGACCATTGAGTTGCTACAAGAGTCGAGACTCTTGCCTGCTCGGCCACTGATATGAATAATATGAATAATAGTTTACGGGATGCTGCATATATGCGTAACACGATGACGATGAAAAAGCAATGAAGAAGGAGAAAGAGGTAGGGAAGTGAAGCATTTTGGAAATCGATAGAATGTCGAAAATTCACGTAGATAATACGGTAGTTCCTTTTCTTCTTTCCACATTTTATTTTTTATACGCACACGTCTTAACCTGTCTCTTAGTAAACGCTTTTTTCATACAGTGGCTTTCGTTTAATCGAAAACACTCCACATATTTTCGCGTGCGAAAAGCAGCTGTGTATGGCATCTGCGTTAGCTATGCTACGAAAATGGTCTTTAAATGAATGAAGAAACAAAAGTTCCACATATTTTTCGTTTTTTCTTCTTTTTTTGCAAAAAAATAATAATAATGACAACAAAAACTGCCATCTCCTGTCGGGTCAATTTCATATGAGTTATCTTTCATGTGAACGATGACGGTGGGGATAATATAGTATTTGTCGCAAAAGAAAAGGAGACTATTTGTAAACTTATTTATTAATCTGTACAGCTCTTAGAGCAATGCTCTGACCCTCCTTGACGCGTGTACTACGCGTTTAGAGATATTGTTTGTATTATCCATTTAGCCAATGAAAGGGTAGAAAGAAAAGAAAGAAAAAAAAAACAATCATTTAAATATTGGTTACTTTACGAACTGCACAAATTTGGCGAAAACTTAATGCCCAGCAAAAACAAAAACATTCACAATAAATAAAATGAATAAAAGAGCATTGTTAAGTAAATAAATTTTTCATTACATTTATATAATCGCTTTTTGTATATATTATAATATTTATAGAAATTTTTAAAAATATTAAGCAATCATCTGTAAAATGTAAAATATATATATATATATACATATTTATATATATATGTATATTTGTGGATATATATATATATTTATATATAAGTCAGCATAAACTCTAAAAATTAAAGATTGATTTTTTAATCCCCTTTTTTTTTTTTCTTTTTTTTTTTTGCTTACACCAGCCCAATATAAATAAAACCTTCTTTTCTTTTATAACAATCTTTGTATTTGTTTTGTTATTAGAAAAAAATGATTCTCTAGCAGAAGAAAAAAGCATAGGATATGGCATATGA